GTGGAGTCTCTGCTGGTTTTCTCTGAGTCTGGTGAATCCTGTGAAACTGCTTATGTGTCCATTGAGGGATGTTGTTGAGGATGCTGTTTATTGTTTCAGACCAATGTCTCTCCTTCGTGAGGTCCCCAGGGAAGCATTCTTGTCTGTCATAATCCTAGCAACAGTGGGTCAGCATTTACTTTCTGGACAATTTGAAATATAGAAACAAGTAGCGGCTAGAAAGCATGAGGCCAACTGAGTGTGAGGCCCACTTACCAGTGGGCACGTTCACAGGGTGGTCATGTTTCAATTTCAAGCTAACTCGTTGACACCCAAGTGTTGTTTCTCTTTCTTTTGTTCCTACGTTTGTTTCATGGTTTCTTATTGTCTCCCATATATTCCTGTGAGCCTCCCTTAAAACTACTTCTGGAAGCCAAACCCATGATTCACACTTGTAATCCTAGCAGCCTGGGGGCCAAGGCAGGAGGATCACTTGAATTTAGGCATCTGAGGCCAGCCTGAGCAAGCGCAAGGCCCCCATCTCTACTAAAAACAAAAAAAATTAGTCTGGCATCAAGATATGTGCCTGTAGTCCCAGCTATTTGGGAGGCTGAGGCAGGCGGATTGCTTGATCCCAAAAGCTTGACTTGTAGTGAGCTATGATGATGCCACTGCACAATAGCCAGGGTGAAAGAGCAAGACTGTCTCAAAAAAAGATACACACACACACACGCTCAAACATATATATATATATATTTTCTGGAAAAACCTTTTCAGAAAATATCTACTTTTTGTAGGGTCTTCCTTTTTTCCCTAGACATTTAGAACTACTGGAAAAACAAGCTTTCTCTTGACTATTTTCTGTTTGGTTCTGGGCATTTATAAGTCTAAATCTAAATCAGTGGCCCTCACCTGGTGGGGATTAGAGGGGTACGAGGAGAGGGGGACCTTGTCTCTCTGGGGACACGTGGCAAGGTCTGGGGTGGAAGAGGTGATTATGGCATCTGGAGAGGCGGGATGATATCAGACATGCTACAACACATAGGACAGGTCCCCAAGACAAAGGATTACAATGCCGAAGCTGAGAAATCCTGGTCTAGGCCTGGCACAGTGGCTCATGCCTATAATCCTAGTACTCTGGGAGGTCGAGGTGGGTGGATTGC